GAATTTTATACCTGAAAATACAGAACTTACCAAAACGTCGTTTTGGTAGGTACGGGGCGTACATTGCTATGTGTGCCCTGGTGCACGGTATAACGATTGATTGCGGGGTCTTGTGAAGAGAGTAAATTACAGGACATGACCCAATGACTTAGGAATTTAGAGCATTTTTTAATACACTTAGCTCTAACCCATTAGTAGTGTGTTTGTTCAACAATCATGAGACTTTTCTTATAGGAAGTAACAATGATATCTTTTAATCACAAAATACTTGAAATTATTAATCTTATTATTTGGCATTGCAAAATTTCTCTATGATTTTATTTCAATTTTTTTTTTTTTTTTGACATTTTTGTTTCCTAGATCCATGGAAATTTATGTTGCTTCAAACAACGTAATTTCCACCAATAGCTAATTTTAATTGAGAGAGTAGCCTAATCTTACCTACTGATTAAGTACAATTGGAAATTTACTACTGGCCAAACCACTGTACTACACTTTAGTGTAGAATATAATGATTGTAATGTGTTAACTATAAATACAAGCAACTTTTATATATATATATATATATATATATATATATATATATATATATATATATATATATATATATATATTTTTTTTTTTAATTTTTGTGATGAGAAAAACCAGCAATCATTACCTAATTGTATGAATTGAGTAAACATCGCTCATGCATAATAGTCCACAAATTATACATAAAAATAAATAGTATTAAAAATACCATATGCAACGAGTTTGACTGAGACATCAAAAGAAGAAAAAGAAAAACAAAAGTAATATCAAACGTTGCACCATGGCACACCACACATATATACAGAATCGTATTTTGCGCAGAAAAATAGGTTCATTTTTATTGAACTAATTGTTCACTTTATGTCAATTGAATATCTAATTAAGCAATACTCAATATTCAAGGGACAAAATAACTAATATTTATATAATTAATTAAGTTGACATTAGAGACTAGATGATTATTTATATATGAATTTGTAACTCAAAAAATTATATAAAGAAATATAGAATGATTTTTGAAATTTGAAAATCTTTCAAATTTTTCAATATTTGGTTGTCTACGAAAAATAAAGTCAATATAATGAAACTTATATATATTTTAGATCAAAGAAAATAGACTCATTTTAGTGAAAATTTTCTTCTAGTATAACGACATGAAAATTCACACACAAGAAAGCTTGTATATTACACATGCAATTTGACTTTTACTTAAAAAGTTGAATTATATTTATATTAGTGCAAAGTCATATGTCTTCTAATGTGAGACATGCATATCAGAGCTCCTATAGCTCAGTGGTAGAGTGTTAGTCTTGTAAACTGAAGGTCTGTAGTTCGATCCTGCATGGGGGCTATGGAACAAGGTGATGATTTAGCTTGAATGCTTGAACATAAATATTTTATTGGTGAAGGGTCAATTTCTGAAAGGTCTTAAATCTCTAGGTGATGATTTTGCTTGAACATACATCTTATTGGTGAAGGGTCAATTTCTGAAACCTTTCACTATGCTTGAGATATCCTAGGAGAAACATGACAGGACAAACCAGTCAAACCTAAACTCGATCAAATCTTTATGTCCACACACACACAAACATATGTTGCATGGACACTCCATAGAATGACACGATTTAGAGTTAATAACCATCTTTTCGGAGAAGTGTATCTAATCTTATAAAGTATTTTGTCCTAGTAAATAGAATTGATTTTATTAATGTGTGACAGTATAATTAAGCCTAACTCGATTATGTTGGCATCCACCCATCAGGGGCTAGCCAGTTTGGTTTGCAGACATGGTTCAGGTCAAAATCAAGCATTTACCACTATGTCAAAAACTATTCCAAGTCTCCGTGATTTGCTTTAATACCAATTGTCAGATCAAGCACTTATTGCTACAATACTATGCTAAAAGTTATAGTTAGTAGTGAATGCACTTTATTTTCTTATACTTGCATAACAGTCAATGTCACGTTTCAATAGTAGGATGTTGAACTCGGCGCCCTCCAAGCCTCCCCCCCAACAGTTCAGTAGAGAGTCCACCACTCTTGTCTAAAGACATTATATTATTAGGCTTAGAAATTAAATCATACTAAAAAATCAGTTGGGGTATTGGAATTTTTGCATAATTGATTGTTTGTAATTTCTTGTCTAATATAAATGGCTTATGTTGTGTAAAAACGGGGAGGATTCAGATGTCAATAATTGTTTAGCAGTGAACACCACATTTCAATGCATGATAGAATGTTGGACTTGACCTTCTTAGCCTCCACCTAGCAGTTCAATCGAGACTCTTCCACTATACTTGTTTAGACACATTATTACGCCTAGAAAATCATACTCGAAATTCGATTGGAGTACTGAAAATTTGACTAGATTTTTTGTTACTTGCCTAATATAAATAGCTTAATGTTGTCTAAAAAGAGGAAGATTCACATGCCAATAGTTGTTTGTGTTAGTCAGATTATTATTTTGTCATTTATTATATGTTGGTTTTAATAATCTGTAGACTAGACTTAGTCTTATGTGGCTTTCCTATTAGATAGGATTATTTGCGTAGACTTTATTTTCTATTTGTATTATGTTTTCTATCCTTTTGGAGTTTAATCAGAAATCATTTTATCTCATCTGGTATCAGTTAGACCAGGTTACGTTCTCTCTCTCTCTCTCTCACTGAAATACCGTAACCCCCTCCTCCAAAATATACCGGCTTCCACCATGTCCGCCTCCTCCGAACGCACAGTCTCGGCCAATGACAATTCGTCTCCGGCAACTAACCAAAATTCTTTAAGCGGCGCTCACCATTTTGTGTCAATCAAATTGACATATAGGAATTTCTTATTTTGGAGGACTCAGCTAGTCCCGTTTCTTCGTGGACAAGAACTTATGGGGTATGTTGATGGCGAATTGCCGTGTCCTCCAGCGATGATCGAAGCCGCGGCTGCCACTGGAGAATCCACGACGTCCACCACCAACACCGTACCGAATCCCGCCTATAAGGCTTGGGTTAAGCAAGATCAAACCTTGCTGTCTCTCCTCATCTCATCCTTGTCGGATGAGGTGATGCACCTTGCGGTAGGCCAGTCGACATCCAAGGCAGTTTGGGACTCCATCAATACGGCGCTCGCCAGTTCCACTCGGGCGAGGTGTCTCGGCCTCCTCGGGCAGTTCCACGCCCTCAGGCAAGGCGGCAGTAGCACGGCAGAATACCTTGGTCGCGCTCAGCTGCTGGTGGAAGACCTCGCGCATGCTGGACGCCCAATTTCACTCGACGAACAGAATATGTTCGTCATTCGGGGCTTGCGGCAGGAGTATCGCGCCATGGCCTCGTCCTTGACTGCAGCAGGTAATCCGGTCACCATACCGCAGATTGCGGATTATCTAAGGGCGCATGAGTTTCTACATGCTGAGGACTATCCGGCGGCCCCAGAACATGCAAATCCGGCGGTTTTTTATGCAGGTCGGGGTCGCAACGGTGGTCGAAACAGTGCAGGAGGACAGCATTCCGGCCGCGACATTACTTTCTATTTGTATTATGTTTCCTATCCTTTTGGAGTTTAATCAGAAATCATTTTATCTCATCGTTTGCAGCAAATTATTGACTACACTATGGCATAGATAGACACCATGGTAACTTGTACATTATTATTATTATTTTGAAGGTAACTTGTACATTATTATTACATGAAAAACGTTGACATACATGGTGACCACAACACAATAGAATAGTTGAGTGAAACTTTTCAAAGTTATCATTATTGCCATCAAGAATGGAATACTTCAATTATGTGGTTCTTTTCTAGCATCAAAATGGCAATGGCAGATGATGGGAGGCATTTTCAATCTTTTCACTACAAACTACAAAGTTAGGGACAACCAATATATGCAGGGTGAGGCAATTTTGTTTTACGTTTAGGGCATGCATACATACGATATTGGCTTTGAGTATGGAAAAATCTGCTAATCTTTTTTTTTTCAATGAATATGGATCAATTTGATATTTTTTTTAGTTCAGTTAATGTTGAATGACATAAATAAATCATGAGGGCATTATTGTAATTAGCTTTTCTGTCTGTTATAACTGCCTACTGGTTTCTTCTTTCTTCCTTCTATTTTCTTTCCCTTTTATTCTTGTATAAATGGACTACTTACTAAGAAGAAGGGATGAGAAAAACAATGCCTTTTCCTTTCAATTCAATGTCAAACTTCTTCTTCTGTTCATTCATATTGATTGAATAATTAGTAGCTGAGCTGCTGATTCCAACATGGTATTCGAACGACATCGCAGCTACGCCGCAGTAGTGAGCACGGATCGTGAAATCGGCGGTGAGGATTCCACCGAAAACACGGAGGGAGCCCCAACTCCGGTCAGTCAGTTCCATGCAAGCCCAAATCTGGTGCATCGGATAGATGAGATCGATGATCCGATGTACTTACACGTTACGGAGAATCCGAATGTGGTTCTGGTATCCCCTCCTCTGTCAGAATCAAATTATGCGACTTGGAGCAGGTCCATGAAGCTGGCACTGGGAGTGAAGAACAAATTTGGGTTCGTGAGTGGTCTGATTCGAAACCCAGGTGAATCTGACTCAAAGTTTGCTGCCTGGAAGAGATCAAACGATATTGTTTGTTCATGGATTCTGAGATCCCTAAATCCTACTATTGTTGAGAGCGTATTGTATTACAAATTTGCTAAAGACATTTGGAATGCCTTGAAGAAGAGATACTCCCAGTCTGACTCTCACAAAATTGTAGAGATTCAAAATGAGATCTACAGGAATCAACAAGGTAACTTGTCTATCAATGAGTATTTTACTAGATGCAATGCTATGTGGGAAAAATTGAATGCAGTAAGACCTCTACCTATTTGTGAATGTGTTCCTAGATGTGCATGCTCTCTTATGACTAAGATACGAAAAGACAGGGAAGAGGATCAGGTTATTAGATTTCTGGAAGGGCTAAATGATGAATTTGAGACTGTGAAATCAGGAGTTTTAGTTATGGATCCTCTTCCAACTATGGAAAAGGTCCTAAACATGACCTTGAAACTAGAAAGGAAGCTTAATAATGCTGGAACTCATAAGAACAATGAAGTTGTGCAAGCTAATGTTGTTCAAAATCAAGTGACAGATGATGAAAATGTGGTTGCAGTAGCAACCTCAAAAAGTAAGAAGAAATTTAATAGTGCAGGAGGTAAAAATGTGCCAAAATGCACATATTGTGGTATGAATGGTCATACCATAGATAAATGCTATAAAAAGCATGGGTATCCTCCTGGGTGGGTGCAAGGATATAAGTCCAAAGTTAAGCAAAATCAAGATAATCAGCAGAACTTTAGTCCTTCTTTCAGTCCCTCTGTCAATCAAGTGGGTGACATAGGGTTCTCATTAGACCAGTTCAAGAGGCTTTTATCTCTTTTACAAGGACAAAATCAAGGCAATCAATCCTCCACCAGTGCTGCAGTCACAGTCAGTGATACTGGAATGAGGCCTAACTTTCCAAAAATGCCAGACAGTTCAAGAGAAGGCAAGTATCTTCCAAACCCTCACATATATGCTGTTTTAAATTGTCATATTGTATGGATTTTGGATTCAAGAGCTACAGATCACATTACATGCTCCTTAGGTTATGTTGAAAATTGCCATCCAATCAGTGATACTTCTGTAAAACTGCCAAATGGAGAGACAGTACATGTGACACACATGGGAGAAGTCAGGCTCCTTCCTAACTTGCTGCTGAAAAATGTCTTGTACATTCCATCTTTCTCATTCAACATCATCTCCACTAGCAAGTTGACAAAGCAAACTGGTTGCACACTCATTATGAATACTGACTCTTGTGATATTCAGGGACTTCTTGGGATGGTGGATGGTTTTGCTAAGGAAAATGAGGGACTCTATCTGCTTAGTCAGCCTCCTATCAAGATAAGGCAGCATGTTGAAGTTAGTAGTCAGTGTAATAATTTGACTCTCCATGTGTGGCATCATAGATTGGGACATTATCCCATAGACAAGATTCATACCTTGAATGGAATAAAATGTGTTCAATTTCAAAAATCTCATAATTATGTTTGTGATACTTGTCATTTTGCTAAACACAAGAAGTCTGTTTTCCCTATCAGTAACACTAAAGCTGCAAAATGTTTTGATTTGATTCATATGGATGTGTGGGGGCCTTTTGCAGTAGCTTCTTTGAAAGGGGAACGTTATTTCTTAACCATTGTTGATGATTGTAGTAGATTCACATGGGTGCATTTGATGGCAAACAAATCAGAAGTTAAAAATTTGTTTCAGAACTTTTACAACTATGTTGATACCCAATTTTCAACAAAGATTAAAGTGGTGAGGTCTGATAATGGCACTGAGTTCTTTATGACTTCCTTCTTTAATGAAAAAGGAATAGTGCACCAAAAGTCTTGTGTCAATACACCCCAGCAAAATGGAGTTGCAGAAAGAAAACATCAACACATTCTAAATGTTACTAGGGCTCTTAGGTTCCAGTCTGGGGTATCCTTAGAGTTCTGGGGTCATCGTGTGTTGCATGCTACATATCTCATCAACAGGTTGCCTACTTCTGTTAATGATGGGAAGTCACCTTATGAGATTTTGTTTGACAAATCAGTAGACTATCACCATTTCAGAACTTTTGGTTGTCTTTGTTTTGGTGCTACAGCTTCACAAGGAAGGAATAAGTTCATGTCCAGGGCCAGAAAGTGTGTTTTTTTGTGGTTCCCTGCCTATGTAAAAGGTTATATACTGTATGACCTTGCTGACAGTTGTGCTTTTGTGTCCAGGGATGTCCAGTTCCATGAGAACATATATCCCTTCAAGCAGGAAGTTCCAACAACCAGGCCTGCTGTACCATATTTTCATTCTAATCCTACATTGCCTCTAATCCCCACTGATGCAGATATCCTTCCTGTGAGAGTCACAGAGAACTCTTCAAGCTATTACAGTCCCTACCACATGTCTCAGGCAGCAGATTTTGGTCCCAATGACACTACTCATACATAAGGTCATTCAGCAAATTCAGATGAACATGGTGGTGAGAATGAGCTGATTAATGAGTCAAGAAGTGAGGCAGCAATGCTTGACAGTCCCCAAGAGGAGCATGTTTGTCAACAGCAATTAAAAAGGTCTGAAAGAATAAGAAGAATTCCCACCAAGCTACAAGATTATTACTGCACACATATAAGAACCTCTCCACACACCTTAGTTAAGGTGATATCTTATGACTCTATCCCTTTACATCAAAGGATTTGTGCATCCTCTATCTTGGCAATACAGGAACCACAGTCATATGCAGAAGCTGTTCAGAATGAGTCATGGAGAAGAGCCATGACCACTGAAATAGAAGCACTGAATGCCAACAACACTTGGACATTAACAGACCTTCTATCTGGTAAGATCCCTATTGGGTGCAAGTGGGTATTCAAAGTCAAGCATAGAGCTGATGGCTCAATAGAGAGATACAAGGCTAGACTTGTGGCAAAAGGCTACACTCAGCAACTAGGGGTGGATTACAATGAGACTTTTTCACCTGTGGCTAGAATGACTACAATAAGGACTTTCCTAGCTGTGGCCATTGCCAAAGGGTGGGATATTCAACAACTTGACATTAACAATGTTTTCCTCCATTGAGACTTAGAAGAAGAGGTTTACATGGTCCCACCCCCTGGTTTTAACACTGATAAGCCAAAGCAAGTTTGCAAATTACTAAGATCACTATATGGGCTGAAACAAGCTAGCAGGCAGTGGAATGCAAAATTAACCTCAGCTTTACAAAAGGATGGCTTCCAACAGTCCTCAGCTGATCCTTCATTGTTTACAAAAACTTCAGGAGGATTTTTCACAGCTTTTCTCATCTATGTGGATGACATTTTGGTAGCTGGATCATCTTCCTCACAGATTAGTGAGCTAAAACAGTTTTTATACAAGTTATTCAAAATCAAAGACCTTGGACACATTAATTATTTTCTGGGAATTGAGGCATTCCGAACCTCTGAGGGCATTAGTCTATTTCAGAGGAAATATGCTTTATAAATTCTCAAGGAGAATGGTTTTCTTGAAGCCAAACCTGCAGCCACTCTTGCCACAACAGGTTTAAAACTCACTAGTTCAGAAGGCATTCCTCTTGAAAGCCCTGAAATTTACAGGAGATTGATTGGTAAGTTGTTGTATCTCACAAACACAAGACCAGAAATTTCACATGCTGTCCAACAACTCAGCCAATTTGTTGACAGTCCTACCAATGTTCATCTTATTGCTGCTCATAGGGTGCTCAGATATCTTAAAGGATCTCCAGGGAAGGGCCTGTTTTATCATGCTAAATCGCACACAAAATTGCAAGGATTTTCTTATTCTGATTGGGCAAACTGTGTTGAGTCAAGAAAATCTATTACTGGTTTTTGTATATACCTTGGGGAAAATCTGATTTCTTGGAAGACTAAGAAACAAGCAACTGTCTCAAGATCTTCTTCTGAAGCTGAATATAAGGCTTTAGCTTCAACTGTTTGTGAGATTCAATGGCTACACTACTTGCTCATAGACTTGAATGTGAGTTTGAATACTACTCCTCTCTTTTGTGATAGTCAGTCAGCTATTGCTATAGGGGAAAACCATGTGTTTCATGAACGTACAAAGCACATAGAAATTGATTGCCACATTGTCAAGCAAAAGGTAAATGAAGCCCTGATCAAGCTGCTTCCCATCTCTTCTCAAAAACAGGTGGCTGACGGCTTCACCAAAGCTTTGCCAAAACCAGCTTTTGAGATCTTCCATTCTAAGCTGGGCATTCTTGACATTCATGATCCAGCTTACGGGAGGGCTGTTAGGAATAAAGTGTAATGGTTTTGATATGCCAAATTTGTATTTGTAGATCCCCCAATTTTATTTTATAGGTCTAGTAGAGTCTTAGACCAAGATCGGGAAATTATTTAATTATGAAAAGAGAAAAACAGAGGAAGATGAATGAAAATAGAAGAAGAAGATATAAAGCCTAAAATCAAGAATTTGTCTGGAGAAAATGACAAATTGAAGAAGAAGATGAATGATATGAAATCACGTCAATGCTACTCAAAGAAGATATCCCAGAAGAATTTTCGTGAAGAAAATTAATGTTGGAAGAATGCATGAAATTGACTTGGAGATCAAGCATCTATGGAAAGAAAGGAGTACATCAAATGTGATTGGAGATTTAATCAAAAGCTGTATGGACGAAGTGGATGATGCTTGATATATTATGTGAAATGGCTTAAGTTCAAAACTCACCATCAATAATTTTACAAGGTAAAATTTGAGAAGCCAAATTAAATATTCTCACAAGGTATGGGATTAAATTGAAGAATATTTTTAAATCCCAAAGATAAAGGACCACTTCAGAGCTAATCAGAGAATCCGTTCTACACCCAGATATTTCCACTCAACGTAAAACCAGAGGAAATATCAGATGAAGTTCAAGAACCCATTTACATGGAGATGAAGCTCTAACAACGGCTAGCTTATCCTTTCTGACATCTTTGCAGAAGATAAGATAAGATCTCTGACAAAAAGATACAAGATTTCAAAAATGAGAGCGTCTCTTTCCAACGGACAGATTCTCATTACCAGCTATAAAATGATGAAGATATGAAGACTTGAAGAGCAGAAGAGCATAACACGAACTTGAAAAGAGATAGAGCAGTTGAGAAAATTCGAACCCATCAAAGGGGAACTCACGAACAAGAGAGCAGAAAATTCGAAACTCTTCAAGGAGATCGAATAGAGCAATTAAGCTTAAAAGAGCATAGAGCAAAAATCTCATTTGGTACAGAGCATACCAAAAATCTTCAAGTGAGAAGTGAGAAAAGAAAAAGAACTCAGAGAGCTTCAAAAGAGAAATATTCTGAGAGTTCTTAAACAGAGCAAAGCAGAGCAAAAATATCAAGTGCTTTACTTGATATATTCAAAGAAAGAAAACACTCAGAGCTATCAAGAGAAATCATTCCAGAGTGTTTATCTTCATCAAAGAGACCTGCGCATCATTGAAGATCATCTACAGAGTCTCAGAAGTTGGAAGCAAG